CTCTCTCTCTCTCTCTCTCTCTCTCTCTCTCTCTCTCTCCCCCACCCCGTAGCCTTTCCCCTGAGTTTGTGGCCAATATGTTCACTACTTTTATACCAGTAATATCAAGAAGAGGAGTTAGCCAGCTGAGCAAATATAACAGCACTCAAAACATTTGATGAACACAGATTCCCAGCTGGCCATTACACATGGGATTGGATCCTGCTCAGACAGTTACAGACATGGCGGGACCTGAGACTATCATACTATAATGGCTGAGCAGATGGCTAATGATCAGAAAAGGAGCTCTCTGATGCCAGCTGCCAGGACAATCAGTCTCAACCCAGAAAAAGTCAGTGCACCAGAAATAGCTGAGGCTGTTAGTATGAGGGGCCCTGACCTACTTCTGAGCCAAGGGCTCGGGGGTCAAGACCTTACACCAACAGGGTCACCTACTCACGGTATTTGTAGTTTTTAAATATTATTAGTGAAGCTGGAAACCTTCAAAAGATTATTCAAGGAGTAATATGTCAGTCCTAAAGCAAACATCGGAACAGTGATCCAGAAAAGGCTTGACTATTTAAAATGTAAGTAACAGACAGGGACTGTTGGCTGATGGGATGGCTTTGCTTTGGTTCTGCTTCCTTAGACTGCATGGTGATCTCTGGCTCCGTATTTATCTGGATGTCACCTGGATGTGCTCAAATGGTTGTTGCTGTATCCAGGCCACCTCTCTCTTGAGGACTTGCTTTCCCAGAAGAAAACTTGCAGAGACTGAGGGTTCTAAGGACATGAAGAAATCACCCAGTCCACTTGTTTACACATGTAGGGACTGTTGAGCACAGTGTCCCTGAGAGCCGTTACCCAGCCATTTTCTGAGCATTTCTGGATAAGTAAAAAAGGAAATCCCCCTCTTTAATTTATAATAACACTGCCTATTCTTGAATGGGTCTTTTGCTGCTCCTCCCTCTACTTCTAGAACTGTTAATCCATACAGCATCAGGAAACCTTGCATGACTACTGTCCCATGTATCCACCCTAGAGGGGTCACTTCTACTGGATTGCTGAATAAATTGCTCATGAGTCACTGTTCTGAATCAAAGTTCCCTTCCATGCAGGAACAGACAAGGGACCAATTCTCCTCGGAAATGTGCATCACAGGAAGCTTGACGCCTTGGATTTTATCTGTAAACCCAATTTTAGATGACAAAGCCTCAAGATTAAGGGAGAAATTCGTCTCTGGGCCTACAGAAGAGGAACTGCATGAGGTGTTAGTCAAGGGAAAAGAAAATATTTCCTACCCATTAAAGCAAAAATCAAGCATTGAATCTGACTCCAGATGTAGTGAAGTACAAGAAAAGCCAAAAGTGCTAGGCAGATTGCTAACTCCTGTGAGAAAACAAGAAGAAAGCTTCATTGGCTTTTATCACAAAAAATTAGTTTTCAACATCATTTAGATGGAATTTTCATTTGGGGTTGAACACCTACTGCATGTTCCACAGGAAACAATTGCCTTCCTGTCTTTGGAAAATAGCTCTTCCTTCTCAAATTCTAGTACATATGAGAATTTCCATAATATTTCTAGATAATAATCAGTTCACTACTTTTTTAAACCTAAAAACCACCTCAAAAGGTTTCCTCACACCAAACATTTACTTTTGTCATTATGCATCTGTGAAAATAAGTATCTTGCACAAAAGCATGCTATTTTTAATTTTCCCTGTTACTTCCTTTTATAACCTCAGAAAATCTAAGGTACACTTGAGCAGGTATAATCAGAAAAATAAGATTTTCTGATGATTGTTATCCCAGTCATCTGATGACCCAGGGGCACAGAACTGGAGGATGTTTTTTCAACTGCCTCTTTTTAGGTCAACTCTTGCACCCCATATACCATTTAGGAATGCTCATGAGTCTGGAATGACCATGGACATTCTTCCACACAAAGAAACTACAAGATTTCTTCTATGGATTCTGAGACATGCAGGTATCTAATCGGGCATTAGGAAAAAAGATGTGTACTTCAAACATACATTATAAAAATTTATCAAAAAATCCCTCTAAAAATGCAAGAAAACCTATGTTGGTTTGCTTCTAGGAACCCAAGCTCAGGAAGCACTGGTTTAACCAAGCCAAGTCTATTTTTGCCTCACCATCTCCAGCACAATCCCAGAAACCCAGATAGCTGAGATTATTTTCCAAGAGCAGACTTTAAACTAATTCAAACAGGCTCTTTGGGTGCTGCCAGGAATGACACAGAAGCATATAATTAGTCTTTAGAAGCTCAAAGGGGTTAAAGCAAAGGTTGAATAAGGGCAGGTGGATGTCACAAAGAACTAGAGGCACCAGCCAGCCACTGCAGACAAAGTAGCTTTCAGCAGCATGCCCAAGGACAAGGCTTGCTTGCATCCTGTCCCTTAGAAAGCCAGGTGTGAGGTCACCACTAATGGGTGATATGAAGTTCCATGTGTTTGGTTTTGTTTTTGACAGAATGCTTAAAAACAAGCCAGCATTGGAGAATCAGTTGTTTCTATGCCCCCACCAAGGGTCATGTTTTTTTTTTTTTTT